TGACCCCACTGAATCAAAGGCCTCGTTCTCTTCCACTGTAACATCTAGCCCAAGTGAGGTTTGGACTGTAGGTTGTCACAAATAGTAATTGGATTTTGCTTGCAATAGTGCCTTCATCTGTCAGTGTGTGCTTTAAATATGACCATCAAGATGTCCATGCTTGTTTGTTTGTCATTTCTGTTGATGTCGACATATCCATGGGTTTGTTTTCCTGGTGAAGGTGCCTGTTAGCCATCCTGTGTCACCACCGACCATCCATTCATCCTATGTGCCAGTGACTCCGCTTCATCCTTGCAAGCAGGCAGCTCTGTGTAAATACTGACGGTGTGACCACAGTACGATTTGTGGTCAGTATAAGTCATTATAATCCATAATTATGTCCCCACTGTATGCAACAAATGCCTCGTTTGTAATGGGTTTTATTGGTTTTGTCTCATCGCGCCGGGACACGGCATCACAGTATGGTAAGGGGCATAACATTTCCGTCACACACTTGAGGTATTCGGCCAATCACAACGCACTGGATAGCTGGCCAATCAGAGCTCACCTCATTTTTCAGACTGATGAGCTTTGTAAAAATCGACAAGGCGGGGCATAGAGGAGAAACAATAATGTACAGTAAAATAATGTTTTTTTAACCTTAAACCGCATAAACACATTTCATTACACCAAATACACCAAATAATGTTCTTTTTAGCAACGTCATATGACCCCTTTAACAGTTTGATCCCTAATTCTCACTTAATCATGTTATCGAACTCTTCAGCACTTAAATATATATAACCTATTGTTTCACTTGAAAGTCCCCCTAACTCAAATTACAGTAACTAGCATGGAATTTATTATCCGGTGAGTAGTTTATTACTGCCCTGTTAGTTATCACACTCCCACAGCCGTTCCCAATATGAGCGTCTTTCAGCTGTCAGGAGGATGTCCGTTCACAGGTCACTTCCTGTAGTCTATTAGCCCCAACATTATGTGGGGTCGATATAAAACCAGGAAACATGTGAAGCCCTAAAACACTTAAAGCGATTTGCACATTTTTGTTATTCAGTAAGCAGCTGTTTTAATATTGCATACAAAAAAGATCGTTCTGAGAGGCAAAGATAGATGATAGCCATAAAATGCGACTGGAATTGACATGTTATGCGTGACCCCACTGAATCAAAGGCCTCGTTCTCTTCCACTGTAACATCTAGCCCAAGTGAGGTTTGGACTGTAGGTTGTCACAAATAGTAATTGGATTTTGCTTGCAATAGTGCCTTCATCTGTCAGTGTGTGCTTTAAATATGACCATCAAGATGTCCATGCTTGTTTGTTTGTCATTTCTGTTGATGTCGACATATCCATGGGTTTGTTTTCCTGGTGAAGGTGCCTGTTAGCCATCCTGTGTCACCACCGACCATCCATTCATCCTATGTGCCAGTGACTCCGCTTCATCCTTGCAAGCAGGCAGCTCTGTGTAAATACTGACGGTGTGACCACAGTACGATTTGTGGCTCTTGGCTGGTCAGTGTGTCCGCTGAAAAAAAAAAAAAGGAGAAGAGGTGTAGGAAAACAGAGGGAGTGAAATTTGCATGTGGTGGGGAGTGTGTTGTGAATTTTTTTATCTGGCTGTGCTCTTCTGCTCTTCCCCCATAATTCACGTGGCGTTCAATTGATCTGTCCAGTCTAACTCTATCTGTGCTACAGCTCCGCCAGCTGAAAAAGGCAAAAAAAAAAAAAACAACAACAACCAAGCCAGGCCTCAAATCCATACATTTGGAAGGCCACATGTGTTCAAAATGCACTAAGCACATCATGCTATATTGCTTTGAAAGTCTCCCTCAAATATGTTGAAATGTTAAAAAAACAAAAGATTGAGTTGCCATAAATTATTTGCAGGCTGTGTCCATTGAGTCCCATTAGATCTATAGAGCTTTATTTTGGGGCCTGGGTTGGTTTTGTTCCTTGTATCTGGTCTATGATGTGATTCTTTGTCTTTGCCATGGCATTTTGCTGAATGTGTAGCATGTTCAGAACAAACGGGCCCAGAGTAAAACTATGTTTGTGAGTATTTGCATGTGTGGTGACTGTTGAAAGACTTGATGTAACTCTCAAAGGTAGCATTCTGAGAGACGAGGGTAGCAGCCTGCCCACCGTACACCCCCAAAAAATCCAATTCCCGAGTGGCCTCTGTTTACAAAGCAAGCCAAAGTCTGCAACCTTTGTTTACTGTATCCGACAAAAGACACCATTTTACTTCCGTAGAGTAGAACACCATATAACAGTGTGGAGACGCGAAATATCGAAGAAAAGTATTTTTTTACAGGCATTTCATACCTTCAGGTTCTCCGTTGGGGTAGTGTAGCCACTGCTGGTGGTGTTTTGTGGGTTCAGAAGAACTTCTAAAGAAAAGTGGTGAAAGCCTATATTTTTAATGAGCTCTTTCTAAAAACATAACTGGAGACGTTTGGATTTTGATTTCTTAGTTGTGATTTAAAGAAATGTTAGCACATAAGAATAGACTTAAAGAGGGCAAAGTTTTAAAGGGATAGTTCACCCCAAAATGAATATTCTGTCAGCATTTCCTCACCCTCATGTCGTTCCAAATCTGTAAGATATATAGAAAAATGTTTTTTGTCTATACAACGGAATTCAATGATGTTGTTTTGGATCCCATTGACTTTCATTGTATGGACAAAAACAGTTTGAGTTCACCAGAAGTCAGGTTTTTGGGTAAATAATGGCATTATTTTCATTTGTCGGTGAATTTTCCTTTTAAGTAAGATTACAATCTACATACAGAAATATTTGATTAAAAATCTGTCTGTAAAAAAATAAAAAATGTTTCAACTATTGCTTTTAAAGTCAGCTACTATTTGTTATTTGTCTCTGAGAAAAGGTACAGTGTTTGTACTTTGTGAACTATCTTTCCTGCTATCATAGTTTGTTTGGTATTTGTTCAGGAAATGTGGAGATTGGCTTCCCTTGCAAATCTGATCTTTGTTTCTGCTGTATATTTTGGTATGAAGTGGATGTATTCTGGTTTCAAAGATTTTTTTAAAGAATCTATTGTTTCTTCTACTTGTGGTTTTGCTCTCCCGTTGCACTGTGTAATGAGATGTTAATATTGCTTCCATGCAACAATGAAAGTCATTTATTGCAGATCAGATAGTGACTCTTGGTTTTCCTTTCACTTTAAGGCGGTCTCACACAACCCCGAAATCAGAGGTAATAAATATGCTCACATGGGTGGCTTGTGTAAGCGGTGCAGGCCCGCTCTGTATCCTGTGGGGTGGAGCGCTGAGCCTAGAATAACTGCGATCCGAGGGTCGTACCTGAGCACAAAACAAATATGGTCATACTGGGAGGGGCGCCGCTGGCTATGCAGAGGAATGCGATGAACAGATCGAGACGTACTGTTCCATTATCATTGCCGCAATGGTGGTCGATGTAGTACAATATGGTTTGGAGATCTCAAAGCATGTTGTTATGTTCAATTCATACAGTTCAGACCCGTCTGTCTGTATGGCGCAAGCATCGACACAACCTGAAGCACTCTCCTTTTGTGGGAGGGTCTTCATAAGTGTTATTCCTATGAGGCACTCATAGGACATCATTTGTGTCATCTGTCATCAGCCTGAATCAGATTTAAATGTGATGTCCTTATATTGTACGTCATCTGTTTTAAGAGGAAGCCTCCTTTTGTTTTGATGCAAAATATCCTGGTGCTAATCCTGGATGTGAAGATGACGGTGAATGCTTTGATGGTGTGTGGTAGATGGTTAAATTTTCTATATATGCTTAAAAACATGTAAATATTATGCACTTTTATGCTTATGCAAACATATTAGTTGCTTCAATACTAGCACATCCTAATCCTTATGCAAAAGGTGATATTAACTCACTGCTCAAAGAATCAGTCATTTCCTGTAAGAAGCCTTTTGGTGTTTTCAGAACATTCTGGAAACTGCATATTTTTCTGGTCATTTCAAGGTTAGTCTCATGCTGTGAGATTTTAATCATTAACTTTTTTTTTTTTACTGGTGTATTAGGTACACAATACACAATTTTGTAATTTTTAAACTACTATCAGTTTTCCAAGGAAAACACAGTCAAGCTAAAATTAGCGAGTCATGGTTGCTGTATTTTCACATTAGAATATGATTATTCTCTTGCAATAAGTTGACCCCTACAGCACTTTGACTAGTGAATGAAGTAGTCATATGTTTGTACAAATGCTGATATACCCTTTCTAAAATTATGCAAAGAACATTAAAGGGTCATGAAACCCACCATTAATCAGTTTTCATACATTTTGAAACTTACACCGAAGTGGGTATAGAAAGAGACATCTGACATAGACTTCAGTTAACAAAAATGTCACTTTCTGTTGATTCTGACTCAATATTGATTTCGAATCCGGTGCCATGAATAGCTGGGTTCCCCCTAACAAATGGGTTCACACTTGGGAATACAGAAGTTGAATTACTGAAATAAATGAACTTTTCCATGACATTCTAATTTATTGAGATGCACCTGTAGTATTTTATTATTATATCTTGTATGCTATCAGTTCACTACTGTAGCCTGCTATATTGTACAACAGGTGATTTTATTAAATGTATTTTAAATTAAATATTTTATTGTGTTACATTTTATTATTTGCATGTTCTTATATTATTAAAGATAATAGATGTATTAATCTAGCAGGCTAACAGGCTAGTGCTATGCTAAGTTAAAGAATATTTCACACTCTATAGCTTTGTGAAATTATTAGAAAAAAAATGTAAAGGTAATTAGAGTCATATTTGCATAATTATGACAACATATAGCATGAGCCAAGTGTGTAGGTTTTCTAATCAGGCACTGAATAGAGCTTACATTAAAAGGCCTTTAAGCCAATCCAATCATTAGGCGGACACATTTATGCTAGGGGACTCATTTGTTCATGACACCAAATACTAAAATAGACCAAAAATTTAATTATTAAATTTTAAAACACCTAAATGATCTACTTTACTCTTCAGATAAAGTACCATGCATAGCCTATTATCTGCAACACAAAGTATTTGTTAACCTCTTAAAAATGTGTTAGTGTTTCATGACCCTTTAAAAAAAGTGCTAAACAACTTCTCTCCAATGAAGGCTGTATAAACAATAAGTTTTCATCTTCCTGATTCCTTCTAATTCAAGTCAATCTATGCTTCATCTGTCTCCCCTTCTGCTTTTAGGTTGTTATTTGCAGCCATACCTGGAAAAGAAAAATACTGTAGATTCCAATACAATTTTTCATTGAATTTTCTTCACCCCAAACTACCTCTAACCAAAGACTGAACGTATAAGATCTATGAAAAGCAATATTTGACATCACCCTACACAGATAAATCATACTGCAGTGGTTAAATTTTCTGTTTTCTTTTTTACATAATGCATAAAAACATTCAGATGCTGTTTATATCCTCAGACATTTTTGACTGTATGCCCACTGAAACTCCATGTATAACAGGAAGCATTCAGTGCAAGGACCACAACCAGAGAACAAAGACGGAGACTCGTCGCAACCGGAGCATAAATCTTCCTTTATGGCCAAATGTGACCGTTAACCTTTAATCAGCGCTGTCTGCCAGTCATTGAGTTGCCCATTGGTCGTAATGGGGCGAGTTTCTCATTGGAGTAAGAGAAATCGATATGCGTACATGTCTTGGGTGCCTGAACTGTATGTGTGTATCGAGCGCTTTTAGTGAGAATGAATGAGAGGTTTAATGATGATGCACTACACCTGCCTGGGCATCTGACAGCAGACACTGCGTTCTCGACAGTATACAGTCCTGCGGAGAACAATTCAGTTCAGTTTCCCAGCACAGAGGGTTTTATTTATAAAAATGGCATGTTGCCTATAATTAAAAAACAACTTCACAGGCATTTTCACATGGACAACATTGTTTATTACAACAAACTTAATAAAAACTGCATAGAAGTATAACAATAAATAATATTGCTCAATAATTACTGCTTTGGTCCAATTTTGGTGTAGTGTTTGGACGGCTATTCTGAAATGGTCTGAAATTGATCAAAACAAAAACATAGCTGTACAAACAGACTGAAATAAACTGAAAGATTTAGAATAAAAACAACATTGGCAATACTGTTAATATTCATATAAAAATGCAAAAACTAATTTCTCACTACAAAAATAGGACTTAGAATGGCACATTGTACTGAGCAGAATCAGTAGAAGACCCTTTAAACACTGGATCCTTCATTGCTGGTCCTTCACCAGTAACTGTCCTTTCTTATGTAACATTTGGGTGACTAACCCTGCTGCCACGTCAAAAGATCAAAGTTTAGCTGTACTATAACTATCCAAAGAGTCACCACTGTAGATAGAGACATTGTTGAAACAAGAAACAGTGGAAAGAGAGAGAGAGCAAAAACAGAGTAGAAATCAGATCTGAGCAGCAATCTCAAAGCTCAAACGTGAGCACTTTTGGCGTGGTTAGTGGAGGCGGGGCCGGAATGAGCGGGGCCCTGTTTGGAGTAGTAGAATCGATTGTTGTCAGTGTATGTAGCAGGGGTGTCCACTGAACAGCAGGTGATCATACAGCCTCCCAGCAAACAAAGTGCAGTGCCAACCCAGCCCGAATACAGGGAGAAGCCGAAGGACATCAAGCCCCTCTCGTGATGGGCACCGATGGGAAACCACACGGTGGAGACGACGCCGCAAAAAGCTGAGAAGGAAAAAACACACTTAACGTTAAATTATATCCTTTTTTGTTATATGTGGCATTATGACATTAATGTAAGTGAGAGAAAGATACATTAGAAGGGTTAAACAACTGTCATGGCTCTTTTTGTGGATTACAGATGTATTCATCTAAAGGAAATCTGGCTATATATAAGAATATTTAAAGCTTTTAGAGTTCTATTAGAGTTTAATATTGATGAAGTCTCATTATTACAGAAATGCTACCTTTTCTTTCATTGGAACGTTAGGCCATGTATATTTAGCGAACATCATTCACTCCAGAGCGTAATATGAGCCTACTTTTTTACCAATACAAATACAAGCTTACCAGTCAGCAGTATTATGGTTCCTCCGAGCACTGATCTTTTGTTCTTGGCGCTTTCTGGTTCACTTCCGAGGTTGATGCAGGACATGGACATGAGCACGAGCGCGACAGCAGGCAATCCGAGAATCGATGCTGTGACCATTAATGCTCGAGATGTCTGGATGTACGCTTAAAAAAAAAAATTATTCTCGACTTCATAATACTAAAACAATTCAATTGAGCACATTCTAGATTAATTACCTATATTTAGATATGTGAGATATTTACACATACACACACAAATAGTGTAGGTAAAGATGCTATAGTTTTTTATAACGTAGCTACTATATGCATTATTTAAAAACACATTTTAAAACATCAAATTTTACTTATTTCATGTTTGATATTTTATTTAAGAAACTATTTAGGCCTATATGTCGTTTTTCGTTATGCTCATGTATTAAATATTGAAACTGCATTATTTTGTAATGGATTTCATCATTATTTCAAAGAAAAAGAAAAGTGTGTAATACATTATTAATGTATTATTTCACACGTACCTGGTAGCTCGAGAATCTGCGTGAGTGTGATGCAGTGATACAGCGCAGTAGAGATCACACAGTCTGCCCACAAACCTTTGGCCTCCAGTTCATCCATCTTCTTACAGGTGTTCATGTTATATTTACAGGTGACTACCCATTCATTAGTGGCAGTGGCGATGATAAGCCCGATCCAACCAAGAAAACTCATCACAAAACCCGTGAACTGTAAGCAAGTATTTGCCATGGTGTACAGTGTGCGCAAAAATGTGTCCAATAGTTGGGGGGAAAAGTACTCTCTGAAGTAGTTGATAATCAGAAAATCTAAAACCAGACAGGTTACTTGGTAGAATTTATAGGTGGTAATATCCAGGTATGTTAATCCATTTCGTAAAAATCATGATGAGTTGTAGATCCTTATGGTGCGCAGTATTCCAAGTTGATGAACACGAGAGAACCGTTAGCAGAGCTTTTATAGTGGAACTACAGAGACAAAACAACTGTCAGCCAATCACATGAGTACAGACACTTCCCAAGGTTACTCCTTATCTCTTCTTTTTCTCTCTCCTCTTTTTCTCCTTTCATGTTTATAGTCTGTAATGTAATACTAAAGGACAAGTATAGAATGTGTAAAGCTGACGGATTACGCTTTACAAATTACTCCTCAATACGCCAAGTACTGTAAAGAGTTATATTTGCTCAAGTGGCTTTGATAACAGTGAAGCACCTCTGACTTCATCATGTCATTGTTGGATTTGTGATATATGCTGCCCTCTGGTGGCTAATTTCTCAGATGTGTGGCTCATTTATTTATTTGAGAACCAATCAAAACTGTTTTAGCAGACCTTCTCCTGCCAGAGTGACAATAATAGAGTGCAACAATCGAATTAACTAATACTTGAGAATACCCAATCCAGTATAATAGTATTTTTTAAATTGTTTTTATGTATTTAAAAAATAAATTGATAATAAATACAATACAATTTATTTTTAAAATCATAATACATGTTTTTTTTCCCCCAAAATATATATTTAAACGTAATATTGTAAATACTTTACAGTGTGTATCTAAAATATAGAGTAGATACTTTAAAAGGTGTATACACTGATATCGTTTGGACTGAGTCCACATTTATATGTGTATCTAAAATGAACATTGAATTATTTAAATTTTAAAGGTTAAAAAATATCAGTTTGAACTTGTTAGTGGCTTAAAGGAATAGTTTCTGAAAACGTACTCCCCCTCAGGCCATACAAGATGTAGATGAGTTTGTTTCTTCATCAGAAAGATTAGGAGAAATTTAACATTACATCACTTGCTCACCAATGGATCCTCTGCAGTGAATGGGTGCCGTCAGAATGAGCTGAACAATAATCCACAAGTAATCCACATGACTTCAGTCCATCAATTAACTTGTTGTAAAAAAATTAATCAAGACATTTTTAACATCAAATCACTGTCTCTGTTTATAATACAAGTGAACAATATCAGTGAAATAAGTCATCTCGTCTGAAACAAGAGGGAACTATGAACAGATCAAGTACCATTTACAACCAAAACAGTCCAAACCAGTTCCAAAGAAATATGTTGGTGGATTTTGATGTGAGAGGACAACAGAGGATTGAATTTTTCACTAGAGAAAGCATTATTATGGACTGGTATTTTGGCCAGAAGTGACCGTTTAAAGTTAAAATGCCTTAATTATGTATTTATTTCTTACAAACATTCAGCTTTTTACTTGTGGATTCTTGTGACGTTTTTATCAGTTGAGGATCCATTGGTGAGCAAGTGATGTAATGCTAAATTTCCCCAAATTTGTTCCGATGAAGAAACTAAATCTGCATCTGTATGGCATGAGAGTAGTATATTATCAGCTAATTTTCATTTTTGGCTTAACTATTCCTTTAAGATATTAATGTAGACATTATTTTTTTATATTATGAAGCATAGAGTGGCAGGACCTGGAAGTCATTGTAATTTGGTCACTGAAGGTGCGCTCTGAAACATGTATGCATTGACTGTGTGACCTATGATGGATATAGAGGACATCCTGGCTAGAGGGAATCGGAGCTCAGTCTTGAGTTAATCATCCAGGCTGATAAATCACAGAGGCATGCAGTGATCCTGTCTGAGATTGCAGATGAAGAAACAAGGGGGGAATTGGGTATAGAGATATCAGCAGCATTCCATTGGGAAATGGATGGGTTTTCTGTGTGATCTGGTGTAGATGGTCAAAAAAGGGGGTCTAAGGGCTGATCCTTGAAGTACCATACCTGTGATTAAGGATGCAGGTGGTCGATGGCGAGTTATCCAGCTGACTTGGTAGGACCTGTTTTCCAAGACTACAAAACAAAGAGTTGACAGATATCACTGCCAGCGTGGATGTTGACAGTTTTGAAAGCTGCAGATAAATCCAAATGAATAGAGTTATATGATGTTATGTATGACCTTAGTGTTTTGGTTGCAGCAAAGAGAGTAGTTTCCCCTTTGTAGAACCAACCTAAATTTAATTTGTTTTTCTGAAGCCTAAGAGCTTTTGTTAAAGAAAAGAGACACAATGCAGGTCTTTGAAGTGTCTGTATGATCTGTATCTGCTTCTAAATATATTCTACACTAGGGTTGCTGGACCAATTGTTTCTTGAATCTTTCATATGTGACATTTGGTGATGTGCAGTACATTCTCTTGGGGCTTCTTCTTTGTAAATAACGTGGTAATCAATTACAAAGTCCACATAACAATAATCCAACATCAAATAATACATTTAACCATCAGGTACCTACCTCTGTCTGCTCTGCTTAAAGTGACAAATTAGTATGTGTCCTTCGTTCATCCACTAGGGGGACTCGTTTGACTTCAAACACAAAGGATGCCTATAATACCTATCAGCTATCCAGCTGTCCTTTAGTATTTCTATTCATCTTACTGACATTTGCCAGGTTGGCTAGTTATTAGTGAATGAAAAGTGTGAAAAAAGACTGTGAGTAATAGTAATAGAAGAACAGAATATACCTATAAGATAATATAATATATATTGGTTGACAAATATGTACAATTATTTTTCAGGAAACACGCACAACTAAAGTAGTTCCAAGCAGGTCTTGACCGCATTACAGTTTCATATCAGTTCACCAAATTATTGATTTCAAAGGCCCTTAAAGCCTACAAAAAAAATAGTTTACATTTGTCTATTTTACTACTTATTTTTTTATTTTTTACTATTGAAATCACAGTGTGTAGACATTATTTTTATTATTACATTTTCCCCCCCAAGCATATCAGTGTCTCAAGCCTCCGTTACTAGTTCTAAAATGACATTTTTGGATGAGATGCACAAGAAATTAGTCCTATGCACATGAATGTTTTAAGGAAAAAAAATGACAAATGTCTTGAAATAAAACATCTGAACAATGTATTGAGGTGTGGCAAGTGTAGCAAAAATAAAATAATAATAATTCAACAGCCCGTCATCAATTATTCCTTACATATCTGTATATTTAAATAAAGGTGAAAAAAATCTGACTGATAAAGCATCAAATAGGCCTATATATATTTAAGAAAATCTTGAATGACAATCAGACCTTGACCTCTGCTTGTTTATGTTAATCTCTTTCAAATATTCTCAGCATGTTCTAATCTAATCTTTAGTTTGTGCTTCATTCCTTGCAGTTCATCCTCATTGTCGAGGAGACGTTCCATAACCTGAATAACAATAGCAGTTTTACATTCATTTCAAGAGTCCTCCCACTCTTTGTCTAATCAGGAATGAATTAAGTGGATAACATCTGGTATTTCCTGCATTCATGGCTATTCACTGAATATGCAGGTCTTCTTTTGTTTACTTTATTAGACCCCTGCTTGTGGATGTAATAAGCTGTCGGAAACACCCTTGTTCCTCTATATCAGTCATTCAGTTGATCCTCAGGGGGCTGTATAGAAATCACCTCACAAAGATCTCAGGCAATTCATCATTTGCTTCAGGAACATGGCAGCATTGGAATATGAAAATTAAGCTAATGAAATGGGCCCTGACATCGGCCTGACAGTGCAAGCTGATCAAAATATATTGCATAACTGAGTTGTGCTGTGTAAGCACCTTGCTGGGTGGACCCCGGCATCTTTATATCACCTAAGGAGGAGACATGTGATCAAATCATTGAGGCTTTTATCTCTATCACTGAATTACATCCCTCAGTCCTTATATATGGGCAGCAGAACTGTTGTGAGCAGATGAGAGACATCAGTAACAGCTTGTGAATATTCCTCAGGCAGATACAGACACCAGTCTTCACTGGCACTGCAGTGATTGATTTTGAGACCATCAAAACTGCTGTTATTGACTTGACGCTGATATGGTTTTTTACCGCTGATGCAGTATTCAATGATAGAGTTCACCATCTTCATCAGGAGTATCTAAGCGTGATTTTGAGTGCACAAGAAAATGTCAGCCATTAAGTGTCAATATCAAAAGCAGCAGAACCAGTCATTGAGGAGATTTATTAAACAATCAGCATCACACATAACGTTGATCTATTTTACGCTACTGGCAATTCATCTTATATTATGGGTAGAGCACATTAGTTCAGGCTCTATTGAGACGAAATGGCATTTAGACACTAGGAGTCATCCTATAAATAAATGTGTAATTTCATGCACTGTCTCTCATTATATTCAAATATATTCTCTCATGATGGGACACTTGCTTATGGTGTCTGACCTCTTCCCTTCTAGGTGAAGGTTATCTGACTCTTTAACACAAAATGTGTGTTTGCTACATAAAGGCTATGATAAGCAACAGTGGTGGACATAAATGTTTGTTTGTTTTTTCATGTAGCTACTTACATTTTTCACTTATCTGTAAGATTTTAGTATTCCAAAGCATTTAAATAACAATATTTAAAATACAAGGCTAGCTACTACTAAGTTTGCCTTTATTTCGAAGTTGAGAGCTATGAACAGACGTAAATGAATGGCAATGTTTGACTCGTGAATGATTAATTCTTTGAGCAGAATTATTGTGTTGAACCTGCTCAATCGGTTCACAAATAAATTATAACACTGAACGATTCATTCGCGAATTGGACTGATTTTGACTGATCCAGTTGCAGCTGTTTTCGAGTCACCACCACCGACCCAATGAACTATAATGTTTTAGTCGCAGCATGTCTTTATTCCATTAGTGTTAGTTTATTCTGAATGAACAAAGTGACCCAGATCGAAACGCAAATTCATTTGAGAAGATGTCAATGAACTGATTCACAATTTGCACTCAACGATTCATTCTCGAATTAGACTGACAAATTGATGCTGTTTTCAAGTCATCACCGACATAAACTTGTCGCAGGAGAAGAGTCAGGTTAATGAGAGATTTATTTTGGTAAACTTTTCTTTTGCTATATTCTAAATGTTTTAGTTTTACTGACTGCTGAAGAAATAGATAACTGAAGAATCAGAGAAGAGCTGAAGA